GTGGCAAGAGGAAGGGCAGGGTAGCCCCTCTTGAGCCTCCTGCTCCCTCTGAGGGTGGTGGTGGTGGCAGCTCTGAGGAGGAAGGCAGGGTGGCACCGAGGATGCGGCCTCTTCAAGAGGGAGAGTGGGCGGCCTCCTGAGCTGGTGGGCAGAGCTGGCCTGGCCTGTGTGTCTTCTGGTCTCTTGAGGTGCTCACTGAGGTGCCGATGCCATCCCCCACCTATGAATAAAGCAGGCTGTGAATCTTTCATGGACTTGCACTTAAATATAGATGAGGCGGGGCCCAGCGCCCCACCCCCAGGGAGGCAGGGCAGGAGGCTGTGCAAAGCCCAGGGCAAGTGGAGCAGGACATTCTGTGGTGGGGACAGCAGGAGATCAGCATGTTGATGCCTGTCCCAGCTCTTGGCTACTTGGCTGGGGAGGGCAGCCCGCTGTCCCTGTGGCTCCTCCTCCTGGGAGGATTTCTGGGTAGGAAGGTCAGCTGGAGCAGGGCTGGGAGACAGAGGGACAAAGGCGGACTCTGAGGATGCCAGAGGGGGTGGGGAGACAGTCAGACAGGAGATGACCAGGCCGCAAGAGGGGCAGGAGCCCGAGGCTCCAGAGGTGAGGTTCCGAGACACAACCTTCACCCACCCTCCAGCCACCACCAGCCCAGTCCCAGGCAAGGGCATGGAAAGCTGTGCCCACCCCAGCACACAGCCTCCCGACAGCCTCCCAGCCCACCACCCCATGTCTGAGGATGCACACCCTGGACGGCCAGCTAACGCATGGCATGGGGGCAAGCTGGGACTGAGAAGGGCTAAATGGTAGAAAGCCTCAGGGCAGACGCCGGGCGTCCACACCCCCAGAGCCTGCCAGCCATCACCTCACCCGACCCCCCCCAAAACTTGACCCAGGAAACCCAAGGCCCAGAAGGGCGGGGGTGGGGCCGGGCCCAGGGTCCCTGGACAGCCAGATGGAGGGGGGAGGCAAGGTCAGACCAGGCGGCCCAGCCCCGCCCCCAGCCTGGGGTGACCTTGAGCCTGTCCTTTCTCTCTGAGCCTCGGTTTGCTTATCTGTGCAAAGGGGATAGTGCTAGCTGCCTCGGTTGGGGGGCGTTGTGACGGTTAAACGGGACGACGGTCGTGAGGGGCTCGGGAAGCCTCCCGGGTGAGCCCAAAAAGTGGTGTGATGCACGTGGTGTCTGCACAGCCCGGGATGTCCCCCAGGCCCTCTCTGCCACTCCCCTGCAGGGGCCAGGATGGGGTGAGCAGCAGGGAGGTTCAACGTCTGAGTCAGGTGGGCGCCCCCCTCCCCAGGCCACAGCCCCATGGGAACTAGTCCCCCGCCCCATATGAAGGGGGGAGGGTGCTGGGGGCTGACCTCTCACAGCGTGGCAACAAGTCTGCCCCCTATTACCCCACAACCTGGTGTCTCTCAGCTCATGCCAGGCGGCTGGGCGGTGCTCCTCTGGCAGGCTGCCCTCCAGCCTGCTCACCCCTGGCCCGGCTGGCGTCCCTGACTCAGTCAGCTGCCTGCGGAAAGCCAGGTCAGCTGAGGTGGGAGGGGCTGGAGGCCGAGGGGCCACCCACAGCCTCACCCCACCACCTTCTGCTGCTGGCTGGTTGCCGCCTGGGCGGGGAAAGGGGCCCTGGAGGCGCCCAGCTGGGCCCACATGTCCCCTTGGGCCCCCCGTCCTCCTGGGCCCCCAGGGCTTCCTGTGCCCCTGGCCCCATGGGCCCCTCTGTCCCCCTGTCCCCCTGGTCCCCTGGACCCCTCTGTCCCCCTGGGACCCCTGGGCTCCCTGTTCACCTTGGTC